TATATCCTCCCCTTCTTGGCGATTCGGAAGGACACAGTAGATATCGCGTTGTCATTGTGGGGAACAGTGATAAGGGTACTTCATTGGACTTCAAACGTTATGCTAAATATTGGGCCTTGCATAGGCTCTGGGAAGGCAAGTATCTTGTCTGTTCACGAGGCACATTATGCTCCATAGATGCTGCTTCCATGATATAGAGCACTACTGGGATCACGCTTGCACGTATTCTTGGTGTGCCCTACATATCGATGGACAGAATAATGTGGCAGCCAGGGTGGGTGAGCACTCCACCTGAGCAATTTCAAACACACCTCCGTAAAGCGATGGATCAAGAGCCTGAACGGGGATGGGTTGCGGATGGTAACTATGAACGCAGAAGCGGCTCACTGGCCTTTGAAGAGGCTACTGATATAATTTGTCAGTATTCTATTCCATACATCTTCCTACATGTCTTGCTCAGGTTACCTAATTAATCAGGGCTTGATCCTCCTCTGGCGCTCTATTTTCCCTCGGCTCATATGGCGTACCTTCCTGCGCCTTCTTGGTTTGCGAGAACCCTGCAGCCCAGGATGCTGTGAACAGGTTTCCGAGGTGTTTTTTTCGAAGGAGAGTATTATCTGGTGGTGTATTAGCAACCACTGGACTGCCCGCATGAAGTACACAAACAAAATGCAGCAGTTTGGGCTTGGGATTGGATCAAATAAACGCGAGCATAAGATGAGGAGATTAGGTGGTTGGGGAGGTGATTTGAGGAGGTGGTTGGAGGATGGTAGAAGTCGAAGAAAGGATGCAGGGCAGTCTGGAACTACCTGTATGTAGCCTAAACCGGCATGACTTACAGTTGCCTCATTGGAATAGATGTATGTACCAAATGGTGCAGATTGTAATCATGAATGTGCTAGTAGGAGTGTTATTGTGGGTGCTTATCATGAATCGTGATCTTCTGAAAGCCTGAGGCTCGGACCCGAGCATCTTTAAGTACTTGTGATTTAGAGGATTTAGTTAGCAATGAAATTCTTGATTGCACATTCTTCTCCTCTATTCCTCCTTTCGAATAATGATCAAGTACAAGTTTCCAACATTCTTGGATGAGGCCTATCTTTCCTTCATTGCTCAGCGATGACCAGGGTCATTATCAAGTTCATGTTTTAGGTAACAGTGGTACTGGAAAGGCAAGTTTATTGTCAATTGCAAGGCAGCTATACATGATTGAGATTTCCAGACCAGGCATCTAACAAGGATGGTTATTTGGTAATGTCAGTATTGTTGACAAAGCTGGTGATTCCTCATGTGAAATTATGAATGTTCCAGTCAAGCAAAGTTATGTCTAGCCTGGCAAGGGGGAATGTCAGTGAAGAGACAAGATGGAAGGACACTGGACAGCCTTACTTGAAGAACAGGGAATGTTCTGATTTTTTCCCAGCTGATTGTAGATATCTAATATTAATATACAAATAGAAGTGTTATCGATTTAGCAAGCTATGGATGACATTCACGTCCATGACCCTCATGGAAATTTGAAAACCAGGGGAATCTGAAGAAATTTCTGGTCACATTGTGTATTGTGGGCAAGGAGAAGTAATTACACAGACAGTTCCATATGTGTGCTTTCAGATTGTTCAGATAAGAGCAACCTGGTGAGGTGATGGCTAATTTGGACCTGAGGGAGTCGAAAGAACTTGATATCATTTGTCAGAGACATCATAAGGTTCTGTCATTTGTCACCTTAAATAGCATACGTGGAAAGTCATTCTCAAGGCGCTATAGCCAAGTGGTTACGGCGACAGATTCGAATACTTTGTTCAATATCTGTTCCTCTTTGAGGGCGCAAGTTCAAATCTTGCTGGCGTCGCTTTGTTTTTCTTCCAAGTGTTTCGGACAACTCCGTTAATGAATTACTTTTTGTTCTGTATTAAACTAACGTGCAAGGCGAATGTCTATCTACGTCTCTCTCTAAATGCATCCGCAACATGAAAGTGAAACCGTCGCTAACTTCGCTCTTTCTTTATATTTGTACATCAATACGAGAAATAAAGTTACAGAAGGAAAGAAAGATGTAAAAAAGGGATGCGAATATGCAGAGGACAATTGATACGGACATCCATCCAAGATAGAAAGAAAAAGAGGAAGAGCTACACACATATAAGTAGGTAACAACCAATCATACGATCCAGGTATACCAGTGTGAATGGGAAGGTTATTGATCACGGAAATAAAAATGTGGAAGTGAAGAAAAAAATCGTGTCTGTATGGTATGCTATCGTTGCTCATGATGTGTACCGATGGTTATAGAAACAGTGTCGACATAAGGGAAGGGATATCGGGCGTTGAAACAGACCTTGTTGCTTGGAATAGGTCATGATCGTGAGGCAGGAAAGGGTCCGGCGAACGGACGTCGAAATCTTGATAGAATAGGCGAGTTGGTGGTCAATAGGCCGTGTACGGAAAGGGGGGCAGACTGGAAACTATAAGAGTGGAAAAAGGAGAAGAAAGAAAAAGATGCCCGCAATATCAATTAAACTTCACCATCCTATCGCCAAATGTCCTATTCCATCTCTCCTTCCTTCCAGAATTTTGTTCCGCTACCCCCGCCTCATTCTCACTAGTCCCACCTCTTTCCCCCAGTTCGCTCCAAGGAGGCTCAGCAGGTTGCGGCACAGGCATCGTCATAGGAGTCGGCATCTGCCCATTCCCGCTCATACTCCCATTGGCGTCCAACACCGTACTAGGCGACACCACCCCAATTTTATATTCCCCTCCAGCACCGCTAAGAGAAGAAGCAGTAGCGCTTTCCCTTTCTTCTCTTTCTCGCATCCTCATCTCCGGGATCGTGCTCAGCGAAGTACCATCGCCCGTGGGCGTCATAGGTTGGTGCGTAGCCAACGGCGAGGAACCCAACCTCCTCGAGGCGGTTCGTGCTCGCCCGTTGCCAACGACGCCTACAATAGCCGGGACCGGGGGCGCAACGCGTCTTGAACCCCCTGAGCTTGATCTAACCTGCCGGTTGGGCGTGGAGACGCCGTTTTGATATCGTGAAGGGGTATTATACGCTCCAAGATTGGTTACAGTCGAAAAAGTGGATGCCGACGCCGACGCGGCGGTTTCAGCCATCTCGGAAGTTGAGAACATGCCGCTGCTTCCGGGGCTCAGCGCTCCTCTTCCTCCTGGCCCTCCTGGCCCGCCGCCCCCGCTGCTGGAAGAGGATGAGGAGTAATATTGCCTCATGTATTCCTCTTCTCTCTTTTGTCTTCGCCTTCGCCGCCAGTACCAGTATAGGGCGGTGAGAACGAGTAAGCCAAAGATGGTGCATACCAGGCCCAATGCAATAGCAAGACCACGTTTGGCAGAAGGGGATTGTGAGGTGCTTAGGTTGTTTGAAGAGGGGGAGGCACTGGGGAGCAGGACGGAAGTGGATGATGATAATGATGAGGGGTCGGTGAGGGTTGCAGAGGGTGTGGAAAGACTGGTTGAACTTCCTGGATCGCCTGGGTCAGGAACAGTGTATCTGTCATAGTCAGCTGTCAATCAGCTTGGGGATCCAACATGAAAACAAGGCGAGAACGCGAACGTACACTAGACTATCAACAATCGCACTGCTCTCTCCCTGTACAACGGAAACTACCAGCGTGTGACGTATGTTATCCAATCCTGTTGCAGACCACACGACACTGGACAGTGCTGTTTCACGACCTCTGTCCACGGTCACCGCGTTCGGGTCCTGGAGGTCGATGGGGAATGGATCTGCACCGTCGAGCGATACGGCCGTTGTAATAGCAGTAGGAAACAGCGGGGCGAAAAAGTATATCGCAACACCTGGTAAAGATAACGAACAATGGGAGCAACTACGTCAGTTAAAATGCTCACGCGGATCGAATTCGCCCTCGACGAATTTCAAAGGAAAATACTCCTCACCTGTGAAGGTGAACGTAGCAGTGGCACTAGAGTCGACAGTGACCATATGGCTCCCATTTGCGTCCAGCGGGTCGGGCGGGGCCTCGTCCCAACTTGTTGGTGGTTCATAATCAATAATGGTCGTATCGGTATCGTCAACGGTGACATTATGAGCAGCCCGCGCAACATCCAACGACGAGAATAATAAAAGCAAAAATATGGAGACAATGCGAGCACAAAAGGTCGTTCCCAGCGATCGTGGCCCTGTCAACGACGGTGGTCGCATGGCTTGGCAAAAGATAAGATACCTGCCGGGTGGTGCCTGCTGCTAGAAAACGGTGACAAACGCGGGGCAATGGTCTTGGCTACACCCGCAGCATATCCTCGCCGTAGACCAGGTTCAAAAATGCAGCTATCCAGCGGCCGGTGGTGGTGGTGGTGGTGAGCAGGAAAGAGAGCAGTAATGCTTGCTGACTGTTGTCACTGGTCCCTGAGAATTATCATCATTTCTTGCGCAGCCACGCCTCATACCTATCAGGTCCCTTCCTTCCTCCCACAATGACATGTTCATCTCACAAGAGCATGGAGTCGTCGCGATAAAAATACGGAGGACCACCTGTTCTCTATCAGCTTCCATGGTCATCCTCGTTGACTTCTGCAGTTTTGCACGGCGTTTCTGGTCCGTAATTACCCCATGACACCGCTGCCAATGTCTTGCTGCTTCGTGGTTTTCATCGACCATGCTCATTTATTGCTAAAAAAACCTGCTGTCGACATTCTAAATCAACTTTCCTACAGATGATCTTTTTTTGGACTCTCGTATCCTTTTGCTCGTCCAAAAATATTGTTTTAGGAGGTGTTCTTCCATTTCCTAACGACTCTGCTTGAAAGATTGCAAGAATTCTCTGCTCTATGATTTTTTTGGCATCCTAGAAACCCTCTTACGATTGTGTGTCTATATCTGTGCATATTACCTGCCTAGAGTGCTCGCAATCTTCCCCGGAAAAGCGACAATCATTGTCCAATCAGGTCTGTTCCGCTTTCCGAACTCCACTATATTTGTGGGCGATGGGCGCGTCAGCAGGAGGGCAGTAAAGAAATGACGCTGGGTGATGATACTCGTTCTTATGGCACTCAATGAGCACCTTTACTTTCATCCCAAACTCGCGGACCTACAAAATTATTTACCTCATTTATTGCCTATCGGACATGGCCACGAAATCAAATGGCGGCTTGATAGTATTGCGATAGTACCTTCGCTCTTTGTTCGTTCCATTCATGGCCTACGAGAGAAAAAGCACCCTTGGAACACTCTCAGATCTGTCAATCGGAAGGCTGTGTACACTGGAATTATTCCATGGGACACATCTCTGTGCGCAGTTTTGTGAGTCTTGTTACTTCCTCGCCTCACGAGACTCGTTGACACCTGGCATTGCATTGACTCATTCCTTTAAATCAGTTATAATTTTTGATCGTGTAGGATGCCTCTCAAAATATCGTGATAGCTGGAGGGGATGAGCATTCCAAGAGAATTATCATCACTATTTTTTTAATGTTCCCTTCGTTGTATAGCACGAATCTGATGTACTCACCAGCACTTACCAATTCAACCTCTTTCTATTCCTCCAGTTTGAGACAATTATCAAGGGTCGCATCGCCCACTCTCTTTCATAATTCTGCTAGGGAATTAGACAAGTTAAAATGGCATTCAAAGACGCGCGTCCAGGTCCCAGAGAAAACTCACTAAGTGCCATCCTCTTACAATGTCTCCGTCTCCTTATGTCTAGACTCTAGCATGATTAGATTGCATTTTCTAGTCGCCTATTAGGATTTCCATAGCCCTCATGCTGACAACACCCTCATGATTATCCCGACATACATTGCCCTCTATGCGCTTTCCAAACGCTATGGAATATTCTACATGAAGAGTGTGAATAAAGAAGTGGGACTACAATATATATTGCTACATCCAATGTGAACTGCTCGAGGTATTCATACCCGGATTCGCAGCATTCGCATTCGAAATGGGAACGCGGTTAATCCGGCTCGTCTTCCTCTCTTCCGTTCTTCTTCTCCCATCATTACCTTGCGCTGACATCGGCGTCACTACAGTAGAAGAAGCATCCTGCCTTGCACCTCCGCCTCCTCCATTTCTATGTCCGGTCGAATAATAATATTGTTGTTGAGTCGACTGAACAACAACCCCCCTCCCATATCCACCAGCAGCACCAATCCCAGCCAACCCAGGACCCCTAATCGTGCTCGTCTCACTCATCACTTCCGAAGGAGCAGCCGGCGGCGGTGAATAATACCCCGCTGCATGACCTCCACCTCCCAGCTCGCTTTGTGCTGAGGCAGGCGAATTCGCAGAAAGCGGCGTCTTCCTGCTTTGCGGTGTCGACTTCTCCGTTATAGTGGAGAGCGTATATCCAGGCTGATATCGATTCGGAGCCCTCGCACTCGGAGAGACAGGCGCAGCATACTCAGGTTGGTTGTAATTGCCCACACCGGGCACAGGCGGCGATAAAGCAGAGATAGGAGGCGGAGGCATATTGCCCACATACGCGTACTTCCCATTCAGCCATGTTCCTTGCGCTGTCTGCTCCATTGGATATCCAGGGACATTTGGTGGGGTTGGCGGAGTTTTATACCATGTTGTCCCTTTCTGTGGTGGAGGTTGTCTGCGAGCGGATGTGCCAGTTGCCAGAGTCCATGCTTCTGATACTGGTCTTCGTCGGCGTCTGAAGAAGAACCACAAAGCGACCATGAGGAGGAATATAGCGAGTATGCCGAGTATAGTGCCAAGGGCTACAGGGACGATGTGGCGTGAAGAAGATGAAGAAGATAGGTCGGAAGATGAATTGGACGTGGGTGAGGCAACTACACGGCTGATTGATGTTGTTGAAGTACTTGATGTTGAGGAAGATGAAGGTACAGAGGGCGATGTAGCAGTGTCATTGGGAGTTGTATAACTAGAGTAAGAGAAAGATGAAATAAATTGAATAAAAATGATGGCTACAAAAGATACCAAAGGAAGTAAGACGCACATTAGGCCATCAACGACAGCGAAAGGCTGGCCTGCACCGACCGAGATGTTCAATAAATGCCGTGTATAATTTAGACCCGTAGCGTTCCACACTACGTGTGATTGCACTGTCTCTGGCCCCGTTACTGTATCATTCCGGCTATGGTCCACGAGATCGACAAGGGTGACAGGACCTTCGTCCAAAGATATGGCAGTGTTAACTAAATATGGCCAAAGAGGTGAAAAGAAGTATATCGCGGTTCCTAGAATATAGAAATAAGTATGGAACAAAAGGTCGAATATGAGAAGAAAAAATATCAGATGAGATAAGGGGCACAAGAAGTCACAAGGAGCTCACCCGTGAAATTAAATAACGCAGTAGCGTTCGGATTTTGTGCTAGGGTGTGCGATCCTCCGAAGTCCAACGAACTGTTGGTAGATACCGTCCACGCCCCAGGTGGCGAATACACGATAGACGGATTTTGGTCATCGATAGTCACGTTCTGCTCTGCCAAGGCTCCGGATAGGCTGCGGTCGAGTAGGAGGGTGAAGATGAGAAAACGTAGGCATCGTGATAAAGTTTGAAAGGAAAGAGTGCAGCGCAGGCGAAATAGGACCATGTCGGTATGAGGTCGAAGCGGCTTTATGGCTTTGAAGGAACTTCTTCATCCAACGTCGTTCCTGGGCAGATGCGGGTAGATGACCAAGTCGCGGAATCATTATTTCATTTTGGCTCACACCAACGCAGCTTAAGCCCCGAAATGGTGTGAACGCGTGTTGGAAGCGTTCAGACTTTATGTAAGGAACCCACTTCTCAACACGAGGCATCAACATGGCGGTTATGGTTTCAAAGTCTGCGCTGCACGGCCTACAAGGCGATTGTGTGAGTTGTGTGATCCTCAAATTGGAAGGGAATGGGCACATACCGGAGAATAATCCTTGCTACACCAATATTCAGGGAATAACTGAGATAAAGGCTTATGTTCTCGGAGCGTCATAAAGTTAGACAGACTTCGTGCCACCGATTCGTCAGTGCCTGAATGAATTTAGCTCAGAATCAGCTTCAAGTCTCACCTTGCAATCGATAGAGAACTGATGAAAGAGCATTCATATATTCCTTCATAAGAACCCACGTATGCTGTGTAGCAGATGATCGTGACATGGGTGAGGCAGAAAGGTTTGCATGTTGTCGGTGGTCGTTGGACAAGTACATTTTCGCAATTGCAATTGTTCCGTCGGTTGCTTGTGGGCCGGGTGATCCGCACTCAACCGGGCTTGTACATTACTATTACCCGCAGATCCTCGGTCGCTGACCATGATCGTGGCCTACAAGGACTCTGTCTAGAAATTGACGGACATGATGGGAGTTAAAGAAATTTGAAAAGCAATTATTATGACTCGGAAGCCGAAAGGTATTGCGGACTAGTAGTTTTTTGCCTGACCTGTATTCAAGGCGCTATAGCCAAGTGGTTACGGCGACAGATTAGAATTTCTGAATTACGATCTGTTCCTCTTTGAGGGCGCAAGTTCGAATCTTGCTGGCGTCGCTTAAGTAAAAGTCATTTACATCCCCTTTTTGTTAATCATATTTTGTATCTGTTTGATTCATTGACATCCAGTCGAAGTTTCTTGTAATATTTGCCCAGTTGTCTTAACCCAGATCATTGATATGATATATTATTATTGCCTAGTATATATATACTTATACAAGGCACCTATCAACTTGAAGCACATCTGAACTTGTTTCCTCAGGAGCTTTATGAGGCGGCCTTTCACTGCAGAAATGTTGTGGCTCAAAACTATCGTATGTGCTATTTATGCAGAATTACCCGACAGTTTTTTGCCGCATGCAGTATACGGGCGCCAAATCAGCTGAGAAATTAGGCTGGGCGCTTGAGCATGAACAAAATTTTGGATCTTTGATCGACTTGTAAAAATCATCCAACCTCACTTAGATTTACATCGCGTGGTACAAAATGCGAATGAATCTCACCATTTTTCCTCTTCTTAGTCGAAGGGCCATAACTCAGAGATATTTGGCTGGCTTGCTGTAATCCAGGTACATCCTGTCACTGAAGTTTGGACTGGACGTCAATAACAGAGAAATATTAGGTCTTTTGCGGTGAGAACTGTCAGTATTAATACTATTTTTGGAAGAAATCATGTCGGCTTATATATCTCCCCCCAGTACCGGTTACCTAGGAAGTTACTGAGCTCATGCAAACCACCTTGTCTCTGTTATTCTTTTTGGTTCTTTTTTCTGGGATATCAGGTTCGCATGTCGTCAATGCACTGATAAATGTGACAGTAAACAATCATGATTCTCGAATCATATACTCACCTAATTCAAGTTGGATAAAAATCGACGGACCCAACCTGGATGCTGGTGGTGGGCACATGTTGGTAGAAGACGACCCAGGAGCGACTGCGATGATTAATTTCAGTTGTAAGTAGATAAGAATTATTTAAACCGACAGAACAGAAAAGTGAAATTTGGCCTACAACCTTCTGTTAGTTGTGTCGGTCTATTTCATGTCAACGTTATGGCCTTATCGTGTCAGGATTATCTGGCGCTTGATGGAGGCCAGCCAATTATTGTTGATTTATAGGACTACAGCCGACCGGACATTGGAGGGGAACGGGAACCGTTCCATCATGTGTTGTAGCATGGTACGGAGGGACAGAGTCTGAAGATCATAGATTCATACCATTCTCGTCTCCGTTCCTCCAGGGATCCGTTACAGTGTGGTCAACATGTTTATGTGAGTAAGCTCGTCATTCCACCCGTAAATGAAGGATTATATCTGCGAAAGCTTTGCGGTACTTGACCCTTCAGATCCTACAGATACTGTCATTGGAACTGGAGCGACGAATGCCGCTTTTATAACTGCATCAACGGGTACACCTACCAGCACTACAGTCGGATTTACCACTGAAATTCCTTCAGGTATCGGCTCGAACTCGGGAAGTAATCCCTCAATCCTTGCCACCACAAATAAACCTACGTTGCGTATCGCCCTTGGTGTCGTTTTCGGCGTTTTGGCGCTCCTAATAATGATAGCGCTATGGTGGCGCTATAGGCGCCGCCACAGGAACAAAAGTGACGATATCAATGCGACAGAGCCAGTCTTCTTACCTACTCCAATAAAAAATCTGTCAGAAGACAGACTGGATGGAGAGTCAGGACACGTCAACAACCTTGAGGATGGGAGCAAGTTGCAACTATCGTCGTACTACTAATACCATTGATGGACTAGCTTCCAATAACCACAACGTTATGACAGAGATGGGTGTAGGCCGTGGTCCAAACTGGGATGGGCCTTCTACATATGCTCCTCCTAGCAGACCTTATTCCCAGACATTGCTTGGACGACAACCGACAACAACGAGCTCAACTGATAGTAGCGCAGCCCAAATAATTGTTACTAATCTTCCGACATACATACCCAATCCAGCTGGGTATTACGATCCTCCGAGGGCAGAGCCTGGAGGTTTGGGTGCAGGGGCTGGCCCACCTGTTCCTCCCTTAGCCACGGACGATTCTGTCTTCGGCGGAGATGCAGCAGACAGGTCAGAGAATGTAAGGTTTGGTTATTTAATTGGTATTCGGCCTATACGAAATGTACGTCAGACCATGTTACATGTTGTAACTTTTATCGAATAAAATAAGAATTAAAATCCTGGGGCTTAAGCTGATTAACCCAAAATAAGAAAATCAAGAGAAGACTTTTATTTAGACCGTGTCATATTTTCGACGTCCTTCAGCCACTTTTGCAACTGTCCACCCCACCCTCCTATCCTTTGCATCTTCCTTTTCATCGTGTTCGTTCCTTTGACACGGCTAAACTCGCGCAACCGTGCCTCATACCGTGGGCGAGAACTCCAGTGGTGAGTAATGCACCGCCAGATAATATAGAGGGAATCGGAAAAGGTTTGATGGCATCCAGGACTGCATTGTTCCGTCATATCAAACATACGCAGGATGCTTCGCCAGATGATACGAGGGAGATAAAGAGCGAGAGGAGGATCGAGCCCTTGAATGATAGTTGGTAAGATAAGCGTCAGTGGACAAAAACAAGTACTGACATATAACGTCTGTAGATTCCTCGAAAGGGATCTTTCCTCCCATGTTTACGTAGTTGCCATCCACAACCCACCCGCGCCCCGTGCCTTGTGCCATAGCCTCCCGAAGGCGCACTTGGAATTCATCAGGGGGACTTTCTACCCACCCAGGCTGATACATTATCTTGTCCATATCAATGTAAGGAACACCAAGTATCCGCGAAAGCGCGGTGGCAGTTGTGCTCTGAAGAAATGACGCCAACCTGCTCATAAAGTAACTCGCGCTTCATGAAGGCCGGCTACTTGCCTTTCCAACGCCTGCGGTAGGAATCCCTTAGCTCAATGTGCAGCATCGAAACCGGAGAAATAATACGCGCCGCTATTTCCAATAAGATGCACGCGATATCGCCCTCGGGCATCGCCCAGAAGCGGTAGAAATGATGATTGTGCGCCCTGCATGAGACCAGATGTGGTAATTGTAAAGTAACAAGGCTGTCGAAGTCTTCGCCTACCTTCCAGTGAATTGAAGAAGTCGAGTCAGCGTTTCCCGTCTTTCTTACGGGACCGAATTTACCCCGTGGACGATTTAATTTAAAGTACTTGATATCAAAGCGCACGGACCCACGATCGTCGAACAAAGAGCGGATGCAAAAGTGTGAACCATGGCAGAGCCGGATTTCCAGGCAAACAGCCAACCCACAAAGCATTGCAAAAATGAGAAGAAAAGAAAGGCTGCAAATTTATTGCAGAAACATTATCGGTACATTTAAATGGAGCAATTTTTGACGCATAAGAAAAATCTGCAGGATGCCACTCCCGCATCATCCCGTCCAAACTTTGGAATATGTCAGCGCAAGGATCCAACCAGAAACCAGAGAAAATTTACCTTCAATTAGATCGAAACATGTCCTCAACGTCCTTCAGCCACTTTTTCAAATCTCCGCCCCAGCCGCCGATCCTTCTCATCTTGCGCTTTTCCGCATTCCTTCCTTCGATTAAGCCGTACTCGGGTATTCGGTCTTCTAACCTCTTACGGATAGGAAAATGCCGGGTAATACACCACACAATGATACTCTTTTTCGAGAAGAAAACCTCTGAGAATCGTTCCTTGCACCCAGGGCTGCAGGGTTCTGTCAATCTAAGGAGTCGCCAGAAGGTACGCAAAAGCAAGCGCGGAAGATAGAGCGCTAGAGGTGGATCAAGCCCTAAATATGTTTTAAGAAATATATGAGTTGTAGTATAACAAAGAGATCCTTACAAATAACGTCAGTCGATTCTTCGAAGGCTATTCTCCCCCCTCTGTTATCATAGTTGCCATCGGCAATCCATCCTCTGGGGTCTTGATCCAATTCTGCACGAAGTTGGGCTCGAAATTCCTCCGCTGGTGTCTCTTTCCAGCCAGGCTTCCACATTACCCTGTCCATGGATACGTAAGGCACCCTAGGATGCGAGCGAGAGTTATTCCGACTGTGCTCTGAAGGAACAACATGACTCATGAAGGATGGAGCACATCACACGAGTAAACTCGCATAATTTACCTTTCCAGCACCTAGGAAGGTATGTTCAAATCAGCATCTATAAAATTGTCAACCAAACATAAGTCTCTTACCGCTGTTACCAACGATGTGGACACGAAAGCGTCCTTCCCCATCACCTAGGAGGGGAGGAAAATTAGGATGTGGAAGGGTCATGAAGTTTTAGCGTTATTCCCGGCCAAGATACGCATATATATATGATGGACTGGGTAGCACACGGCGATGAAGGTCGAAACGTTGACCGCAGAATGAATGGAACGAGTCAAAGGTAATCACAGCGGGTGTTCTTAGCCGCTCCGTCTCCCACTCGGGCTAATACCTCCGAATTATCCATGTGACCGCGTTTATCACGGAGATACGACTCGAGTTATATCGGAGAACGTCAGTTTGCTACTTCTCTGATCATTTGAATCTGATCGACTGGCGAGCCAGGCTAACGACTCGACATAATCGGCACGCCCAACACGCGTCGCGATCAAGTCGTGATCATCATCCATGGCCAGAAATTAAAATATTGTGTATGAGGATATGATCATCACCAATCGCTTCTTCACCTTGACAGTCGTTCCAGCCGTAGATGTCGGTGAATGCGCTAATACGAAGACCAGGCTTCCATACTCAGTAACGACATTTGGAGGCCAGTTTTTTAGTTTGGTCTCAGGCTTTATTTTGGATGATGGATAGTTCTCAAGCCTATATATGCATCATATGTGATATGCCTTCCTCAGAATAATTTTCAAGCTTTGTCTAAGCATCTAGCTTTTCGCACTGCACAGTGGTCTGAACCCAGGCCGCATATTTACTCTGGTATTCACACTTCTGCAACTCTGAGGTTCTGAGAAGCCTTCTGCCCAATTTCCGTCCGTGGCGGCGATTCTCGGGCGGTGTTGCTTCGAGATCTACTAACTTCTACATGACTGCAGGCTGTAAGTACCAGCAATTCTAGAAAA